CCGTCTCCAGCCTTGGTGGTGCTGTTCTCTTATTGTTCCCTTGCCACTGAGAGTACACCTTTGCTGGTTCTGTGGAGAACAGCTGGCTATTTTATACTTCTGACAGTCTGACAGCCGCTGAAAGGAATCTCTGCCACTGAAGGAGCTGATCAGTGCTGTTAGAGTCTCCTGCATGGGGTGGAAGATGTTGTCCAACAGGGATGACAGCTTAGCCTGTCACTCACCACCTCCACTGGGTCCAGAGATCATCCTAGAACACAGCTGGCCCTCCGGATCAGCCTGTTCAGTCACTTCCTATCCCCAGCAGAGATGCTGGTGCCCCAGCAGACCACATCATAAAAAAATGTTTGAGGCCACCACAGAGTCACAGAAGGTCTTCAGGAGTGGGCCCTTCACTCCAAAAGACCTGAGCCTCCTCAGCAGGTACAGCCTGCTCTTCCCTTTCCTGTAGAGAGCATCTGAATTGTGAATCCAGTCCAGTTTATTGTTCAGATGAAAACTAAGGTACCCGTAGCTGTCCACAGCCTCAATGTCCATACCTTGGATGTTCAGTGGTTGCAGTGGAGAATGTTTGTGCCTGCAGAAGTCTACCACCAGCTCCTTCGTTTTTCTAGTGTTGATCTGCTGGCACCAGTCCACAAAGCCTTGGGTCAGTTCTCTGTACTCCCTGTCGTCCCCATCAGTGATGAGGCCAACTATTGCAGAGTCCTTAGAGAACTTCTGCAGGAAGCACTGGGTGAAGTTGTGGGAGAAGTGTAGATGGTGAAGAGGAATGGAGCCATAACCGTTCCCTGTGGGGCCCCTGCTCTGCAGAAGACCCTGTCCGACACACAGTCCTGAGTTCTGGTCCATGTGGTCCGTTGGTGAGGTAGTCCAGTATCTATGTTGTGAGGTGATAGTCCACTCCTGAGTTCTCCAGCTTGTCCTTCAGGACTGTGGGAATAATGGTGTTAAAGGCACTGGAGAAATCAAAGAACATGATTCTCACAGTGCTCCCAGCAGTCTCCAGGTGAGAGAGGGAACAATGTAGGAGGTGAATGATGGCATCATCCACTCCAGCTCTTACTGGTAGGCAAACTTAAGTGAGTCCAGTGATGAGTTCACCAGGGGCTGAAGCTGAGCCAGGACCAGCCGCTCCAGGGTCTTCATCAGGTGGGATGTCAGAGCCACCGGCCTTTAGCTGTGGAGGTCCTTTGGACGGGGAGTCTTTGGCACTGGTACCACACAATTGGTTTTCCAGAGCTGTGGAACTCTCCCCAGCCTCAGGCTCAGGTTGAAGATGCGCTCCATCACCTCAGACAGTTGATCTGCGCAGGACCTGACAACCTGATGCCATCTGGACCCACTTCCTTCCTGGCTTTAATCTTCCTCATTTGCCTTCTAACCCAGGTGGTTGAGTGAGAGACATGCTGGAGATGTGTGCTGGATGTGTACTGGATGCTGTGGTTGGGGGTGGGGAGTAGTGACCAGGGTGTGTGGGGGAGGTGTGAAGTGTCTGGGGTGTCAAAGGTGGAACAGCATCAGTGGGGGGTGGGTGAGTCTGCAGCCGATGTTGAAGACTGCATCCTGGATGAATAGAATAGAATTCAACTCATGTCACAAGTACAAGGCAACGAAATGCAGTTTGCATCCATCCAGAAAGTGCTTTGGAAATAATATAGATATATTACAAAATATGGATCTATTATAGGTATGTTACAATGTACATGGTATAAAGGTATGTTATGAATATGCTATAACTATAAGTATGCACAGGCTGTAGTGAGTGTACAAGCTATGTACAGGTTATGAACAGGATATAAATATGGTTAAAAATATGAAACTATACAGATTGTAGATATACAATTGTGAGTATTAATAAACAGTTATAAATAGTTGTAAAACTATAATTATTGTATTGTACAGAATGATTGTCTATACAACATTTACAGTAGTGTAGTTTAGATCAGTGAGATATGTGGATAATTTCTACAGTAGTTATATAAAGTGCTAGTGGTTGTAATTGGTGGTTCAGTCCATGTTATTGTGTGTATGAGGGTACAGTTGGTAATCAAACCTGTTAAAGAAATAATTCAGTTCATTTGCCCACCTCGCATCCCCCATGGGCAGAAGGTGTTAATCTTTGTGCCCCAAGATGATTCCAAGGCATCTCCAGACTTCTTTAACATTATTCTGCTGAAGCTGAACTGATCAGTCCTTTCAGCTCTCTCTGCACCCCTTTCAGCTCCTCCCTGTCTCCAAATTTGAAAGCCCTCCTCTTCTGCTTGAGGACAGCTTTTATTTCTTGGGTAATCCATGGTTTGTTGTTGGAGAAGCAACACGAGGTCCTAGATAAGTTAATGTAGGCTGTAACGAAGGTCACAAGTCTGTCACTGTCCTTCCCGTGGTCGTCACAAAGCATCTCCCACACAGTAGAGTCAAAACAGTCTTTTAGAGCCTCCTCGCTCAGTGTAAATTTGTTGTCACCTCAAAAAAACTCAACATGCAACCACTGATGTCTAAATCACTAGCAACAAAAGCGAGTACACCCCTAATTGAAAATGTCCAAACTGTGCCCAAAGTGTCAATATTTTGTGTGGCCACCATTATTTTCCAACACTGCCTTAACCCTGTTGGCCATGGAGTTCACTAGAGCTTCACAAGGTGCCACTGGAAACTTCTTCCACTCCTCCATGATGAAATCATGGAGCTGGTGGATGTTAGAGACTTTGCACTCCTCCACCTTCTATTTGAGGATGCGCCACAGTTGCTCAATAGGGTTTAAGTCTGAAGACATGCTTGCACCTGAGACCTCGTAACGCTAATGAGTCACATGACACCAGGAAGAGAAAATGGCTAATTGGGCACAATTTGGACATTTTCACCTCGGGGTGTACTCACTTTTGTTGCCATCGCCAAGTAGGCAATAATGGCTGTGTGTTGAGTTATTTAGAGGGGACCGCAAACTTACACTGTTATACAATCTGTAAACTGACTACTTTACATTATATCAAAGTAAGGGGTGTACACACTTTTGTGAGATACTTAGCCCTGCGACAGCTGGAATGGGCTCCATGTCTATCTATCTATCTATCTATCTATCTATCTATCTATCTATCTGGATGGATGGATGGATGGATGGATGGACGCGCCAGTCTGTCTATATTATATATTATATATATATACAATTGATTTTTTTATGATTAATTGTATATCCTTGTTTCGTTCACTGTCTTTTTGTCAGCTGGATTCAAAAGCACAAAAAGATTTAAAGGAAGATATGAAGATGTATGAATCAGATCCTGGCCTTAAGAATTCCTGGGACAATGTCCAGAAAATGGTGAGCATTTTTACTGAACAGCACATGAAAATACAATAATCCTCTTTTCAACAGAATAACGGATATACTGTGTAGCCTGGGAAATTAGTTGCCACATGGGACACAATAACAGGGGTTCTTGCAGCATTTTAATGGCATACAGATAATAAACAAAAAGGAAAAATCACAAAACATCCAATAAAAAAATATGCACTGAAAATACAACAGTGGCTCTGTCTACAGACAAAAACAAACAAAGGAACAAATTAATACCAAGCCAAAACCACCAAATGATTGCAAAATGACCGTAGGCACTTACACTACAGTTTCACTAGCTTCATGTCTGGACACACTGGAGATTGCAGACTCTGCATCTTGCTACACATATAAGTTCATGGAGGTTTCTAGTCCGTGCGGAAGGTACTGATCACCAACAACAGCTACAAACACATGCACAGTCTTGTTAAATATTGCCTTAAAAATTTTAAAGTATTGACACAATAAAGTCTCAACACATTACAGTCATATTTGCCAAGGACTGCATGAAGCAATTTCGCACCACAGTCTGCCATACATCTCCAGCTTGGTGCAGTCCAAACGCAACCCCAATTCAAAATAAACCTGACAAAACCATAGACCAAGATGCAGTTGGCAAAATCTAGAAGTAACTACTGTTCTTCGTGATGGTGCCACCTTGTGGTGGACGTTTGTCAGTTTAATGAACTTTACAGCCACAAATTATGAACATTAAAAAAACACAGATTCAAAATAAGTGATGAGAGTACATGACAAGAGTATAGGCACCCTAATAACCCAAGAGAAAACTGTCAAGTTAAAAGGATCTACATGAGTTTACACGTGCAAATGTTAAACGTAGATTAAATATTTGGTATTACTGTCCTCTTTGCATCCTGTCATCTGCTCTTCCAGTTCAAGTGCTGTGGCGTAACCAACAAAACAGACTGGTATAACGTGCTGCAGGGAAAGCTACCCTTATCATGTTGCTCAGTTGGGACACAGACGTGTGTTGAAGGATGGACTGAGGTTTGTTGCTTTTTAATTTTTATTTTTTGGGGGGATAAACCTCTCAAATGAAACAGAATTTTCCTACAGATCAATGAATGTATGTGTCACACATACTGCTTGGGCAACTGCATACTAAAGTCTTTGCATTTTTCAGAGCAGAATTTGCTAACAAATCTTAGTTTGGTAACTACAAGATTTATGTTTCAGGAATTGTGTAGACTTCAACTCTGAGTCAGTTACCAGGGTAACAGACTCTGTGAACTAAACCTGAGGCTATGAAGCAAGATTTTGGCTTATCTGGGTAACTTTAGGGTTGGCCCATGGTTTTCTGTGGTCAACTACAAAGTTGGTTCACTTCTTACCAGGGTAGATCACTATAATGCGGTAGATCTAACCAGCTCTGCTCCAGCTTAGGTTCCAGATTCAAGATCAAAAGATATGAAATCACCCTAAGCAATTCTCCAGAAAAAAGCATCACAATTGCTGGAAGATCCCTTGGACCTCTGCAGGAAGAATAGCAGGTTCTTCAAAGTTTTCAAGTAATTGAAAACTCAACTGGCTTCTCTAAAAATGTAAAAGAACCCACCCACCACTTTAATGACACTCTAGATCTTGTTTTAACATACGGCATAGAAACTGTTTACATTTAAGAATATAATCCACCCACTGTTATCATCTTCAATGGCCTGTACCAACACAGAGCATGAGCCTGGTTCTGTTGGAGGTTTCTTCCTGTTATAATGGAGTTTTTCCTTCCCACTGTCGCCAAATTGATTGCTGGGTTTTTCCTCTGTATGTATCATTGTAGGGTCTACCTTACAATAGCCAGGGTCTACCTGGAGCTGAACAGAATTTGTGCCTGATCTTGCCTTAATTAAAAACGGATCACGGTTTGGATTTGACTTGCGGTTCAAATGGCAGCATAGGTTCTGATCCATAACAGAGCCTGTGATATCTTCTGGTTGATCTGGTCAAATAACTGAGACTATTTAGGTGATTTTTAAGTGGACAATATGTTTCTGAATTCAGCCACCATTCTTTCCAACATGTTGTTTGATATTTAATGACCGAATTCTAATCTGTGGACAAATTTGCATCTAACATAGTGTCTTTTACCCTGGTCAGAGTTGACGTTAACTCTCTGGAGCAGAAAACAGGAGTTTCACACATCTCAGGGTTTAGGAACTCAGAGCTGCTAGCTAAACCTGCATACTGGAATATAGCCCTGGCATTCTTCTTCGCTTTTCTTTCTATCTATAACTACTCTGCCTCAACTGTTTCCCCATGTCGTTTGCAGCCATGCTACCAGAAAGCAAGAAAGTGGCTGATAAAAAACATCACCTCTGTCCTGGTGTTTGGAGTGTGTATTGGTGTTGTGCAGGTAGACAATATTAATGTTTTCTATATACTATACATACATACTGTCCATAAACAAAATGTACATTTAAACTTAGTAACTGTTTGCCTACCCTTTAGGCTCATAAAACTTGAAATAACGTATCTTTTGGTAATTATGTGTTGTAAGCTGTAGCTCAGTTATTTGTACATTTACAATGAAAGGTGGTATAGATTCCAAAATCTTAGATCATATATCAGCTATTAGGAATACTTGTGTTTAGTCTGAATTTCTTGATTCAGTTATTCATGCTGATTGCTTTTAACTGGTCGAAATCACTTGCATTCGCTTATACACTGTGGATGTGAACATGGGCAGCTGAGGACAGTGCAGACAAGTAGTTCTTATTATACATCCTAGTCCACCTGGAGTCTGAGTGCATAGTTGGTGCATTTCTGTGTAGTTCCTGTCATATGTAGCGTTAATGACTTGTTAATTAATGACCTGTACGTCTCCTCTTGTTTTGTCAGATTTTGGCCCTGGTGTTCTCCATGCTCATGTATTGTCAAATTCTTTCGGTCGAGAAACACTTGGACTAACTGCAGAAAAGCTGTTCAACAGATGTCACGTGACGCCTATCAAACTCATGAACTGAATTTCTAAAATCCATAATCCAGCCTGGAACATTCCACTGATTAATTTTGGTTCAGATTTTCAGTCATTACATTATTACATGGCAATTACTGTTAACACCGATTTACTTAGTTCTTCCACACCGCGCTGTACAAAGACATCTGTTAACTGGGATATATTAATTAACCTAGTAATGACTATCATTTCCTTCATTGTAGATACAATTTGACAAATATTTATTTAGTATATACTATATTTTTAGCCTTTGGATGTCATTTATCTAAGACGTAAAAAAAAGCACAGAGGAGCACTCTTAATGGACTTCTTCTTATATAGCGCTTTTCTACTGTCTTGAAGTACTCAAAGCGCTCTATACAACACACCGCTTTCACCCATACACACCAGCACCAACCTTTGTCAGTGCTTTAACTCATACTCCAATGGATGCATTGGAGACCAAGTGGAGGTTAGTATCTTAGATTAGTAAGCTTAGAGCAGCTGGTATTCCCAGGCAGTCTCCCATCCAAGTATTAACCAAGCCCAACACTGCCTAGCTTCCAAGCCCAGATGAGATCGGGCGTGCTCAGGGTGGTATGGCCGTAAGCACGAACTGCTGCAAGGGGCTAAATACACAAACTGCTGGTTCAGTTTGTGTATTTAGTCCAGCACGGTAGTAGCAGAAAATATATTTGACACATGGACCCTGGAAAATAGATTTTTATTTGACGTTTAATTCTAAATTTCTAGCCTGTAAAATGTAGGCATACTGGATATACATCTGCTTCACTTATTTTACCGCAACAATTTTCAAATATCCTCATAGTCACTCAGAATGTAACTCTTGGTATTCCTTTATAGCCTATATATTCTAACTGATACAGGGCAAAATTTAAAGTACAGATGCAGGCAAGGGTAGTACTGGTAAAATTTATTAGATGTGAGGATCACTGATATCCACCCTGCTTAAAGGTTACAACATGCACAAGAATTTGAGTATGTTGAGACATTAGTCTCAACATACTCAACAATACTCCAATGTCTTAACATTAGAGTAAGTTCACCTAAAAATGAAAAACAGTAAAAAATAAATATATAAAAAATTTCCTATTTGACAAAAGTTTGAGTAACAAACTGAGTAAGCTTTGTGAGACTAGCAGAAAGTAAGATAAAGTACATGAAGACTTGATTCAGGTGATTCCCTGTAAGACGTGCAGCTCAGTTTCAACTCCATCCATCTGTTCCCTCTTGCTTGGTCGCTCCGTGTCTTTGGACTGTGGGAGGAAGCCGAAGTACCCGGAGAGAACAACCCACGCAAACAGGAGGAGAAGATGCAAACTCCACACAGAAAGGACTTCACATAAAACCAGTAATTTATCCTTTAGACATTACATCCCATGTGTGGCATATATCAGTGTTTTGCTTGTAAATTGGTGTAATTAATTAACAAAAACAGTGAACTATTAAAACCTCAAGAGAACAGAGATGGATGTTTCATGTCAAAATAATGTAAAGTGCTTTTGCAAAAAAAAAAAAAAATCAATAAAAACATAAAAGGTAAACTCACAATTACATACATACAGTGTAAAGACTGTGGCTTTACTAAGGTTTTAGGTTGAATATTACATTATGTCCATTCATGTTAATACTTACATCCATAAGGAATTTGTCCACTTTCAACAGGAAATGGTTATTATTTACAATAAAAATAATAAAAT